TTTTTTTTTTTTTTTTTTTTTGCTATGGCTTTAATATGTATGTATAGTTTGGAATCATTGTACTTCTTATTAGAACATTTTTAATACCTAAACATATACTCTTATTTCTACTTTTCTAGGAAAACTTTTCTGTTCTCACCCTCTCCCTCCTCTCTTTTAGACAATGGAATATGCCTAATAATTGTCAAATTATTAAGATCTATTCTAGGTTACAAAGGCCAAGGAGGCTGCATGAGAAATCATCTCTCTGGGTCTTTCACTAAAAATTTTTTACAAAATCAGTAAGTTTGTATGTGATACATGTGGAAGAATATGGTATATATATACATTTATGCATGTATTTTGAAAACCAATTTGAGAATTCTCCTTTCTTTTAGGACATAAAAAATCATGAGAGAATGTTGCTTCTGCTATAACAGGGAGAATAAATTAGATAGGCTTTGAAGTCATAATTTATTTTGAGCTTGTTAGAGCTGAAGTTGCAAGGTGAGCAGGTAAATTGAATTCCGAAAGATGGTAAGACCTTCGAGGTAGGACACATGAACTATTAAATCTTTGGCAGAACTGGAAAGAATAGCTTAGTTGCTATTCTTAGCTGCTAAAGGTAGATAAGAAGAAAATGGCTGAAAGTTTAACCAATTCTTATAAAAATCAATTGTATTATAATTTAGTGTGACAGTTTAGAGTCCTTGGAAACCTCGGACACAAAAGTTATCTGTAGTTGCTAGCTCCTTTCCCTGGGCCTCTACCAAGCATTGAAAGATTGGGATCAGGGAAGGGGACATAAGAAAGCCCTCTTTATGGTATAGTATGGTAGGCAGAATAATGGCCTCCCAAAGATGTCCATGTCCTAATCTTTGCAACCTGTTAATATGCTAACCTTACATGGTATAGGGACTTTGCAGATGTGATTAAGGGTATACACCATGAGATGAGAGATTATCCTGGATTATTTAGGTGGGTCCATTCTAATCATATGAACCCTTAAAAGCAGAAATTCTTTCTGGGCTAAAGTCAGAGATGTGCCGATGGAGGAAGGGTCAGAGAGATGCAACACTTCTGATTTTGAAGATGGAAAGATAGAGGAAGGGGACCCGGAACCAAGTTCTGCAGGTAGTTTCTAGAAGCTGGGAATGGCAAGGAAATGAATTCTCCCCAAGAGTCTCAGAAAACAACACTGCTCATCTGACCCCTTGATTTTAGCGTAGTGAGACCTCTGTCAGACTTCTGATCTATGGAACTGTAAGTCAATTAATTTGTGGTGTTTAAGCCACTAAATCTGTGGTAATTTACTGTAGCAGCAATAGAAATCTGAAACACATGAGAATAAGATCTTAAGTTTGAACGTGGAACAATGGAAACTGGAGACATCCATTTGCACTCTGGACCCTGCATGAGTAAAAGGTGGTTGTTGGCCAGTGCTGGGGGACAAGCAAGAAAACTGATTATGTCCTGGATCCTTCTTTATTAAGCAAAATCTGCCTGCTTCTGTAACTTGGTCCCTGCTCTGATATCAGGCAAGAGCTGATTGGTGCCAGGGGAAGGGTAAGAAACCTGCCTGCACCCTGGATCTGCACTGATACATGTTAGAGGCCTGTTGGCAAAGGGGAAGGACACTTGCTCTGGGTCCCACACTGACAATAGACAGAAGCTATCTGCCACTTAAGAAGGGCACAAAACCTGCCTACTCTGGACTCTGCATGGACACTGAGCAAAAGCCATCTGCCATTGGAGGAGCCAGTTAAGCTGATAAGACCAAGGCCTTCCACTGATATAAGACATTGGTTGGCTGACATTCAGGGAGGGGCAGAAAGGTTGCTTGCCTTGGACTCCCTTACTGTTACTGGGTAAAAGCCATCTGTTACCACT